GGTCCGTCCTCCCTGCGCGATTTGCGGCGACGAACCCTCCCAGAACAAGGCAGAGATGGACTCGCCATACGGGCCCCTCTGTACTGGTCAGGATCAGCTCCCAGCACTGGCGGCGCGCCAGCCCTCCGCAGGCGCCCCCCACTGTCGCGCGCCCTGAGTTCTTCCACATCCTGGAGGGCGATCCCTTCAGCGAGCCAGGCACGCCGGCACCCCACTCGCGCGACTTACCGAGGCCTGACGCCGCTGATGGCGGCCCTCCCAACCTTTGCGCGACGCGTCCTATACGGGGATGTACACGTCTCCGGCACTCTCCCCCCGTGCAGCCCATGCAGCGCCCCGTCGGGCCCGTGCCCGGTGCCCCGACCCTTTCCCCCAAAAGGCAATGGGAACTGCAAGCCAAGGGCGATGGAAACTATATCAGATCTATGAGATCGAGCTCATGGCCGGATTCGAACCTAAGGACGATGGCTCCCCCATGGCACGTAATGTACTGCGCAGGAAGGCCACGTGCGCCCTGGACGTTGCTATCAAGAAGTACAACCCGCGGTCCTCGCGCCCCGTCGTGAGAGAGTGGCGCCTACAGGAAAGACTCAGTGACCACCGGGATGATGAGTGGAGTACTACATCCTAATCTGGGAAGGTGCGCATCGACTGGGTCAAGGAAGAACTCGAGGACTTCTCACTCTTGGTCTCCCATCACTCCCCCATCACCGGACTCCTCAGTTCAGTTAGGCCAATCTGGCCACCCTCCCCAGGAGGGCTCGCGGACGGCGCACCAAGTAGCAAGTGCCCCTCCAGACGCATCATCGTCGCCGTCGACGCCAGGAAAAGGAAATCCCTGCACCCCAAGGACTCCCCGCATGCAGCTCCTGCGCCGGGTGAGAAGGGGTGCTGGATCGACGAGCGCCCAAGCCAAATGCAGTCCTGCAGAATGTGGACATCAATGCAGCGACTCGTCATGCTCGAGTCACAACCCAACGACGTGACGGGGATGCCCGTCCGAGTTATCCCGTGCGCGATGACCCTCCGTGGTGGCCCCCCCAGAGGATGAGGCTCGCATCGGCTCCGCAAACCATCTGGCGGACATGGGCAGCCTGCTCCGTGCGCGGGCAGCCGCCGCTCTCAACTCGCCAGTCACTGACCCAGACGGGTACACTACTCACTGCTCCCCCAGGGGCCAGGCCCATCACCGACGCCGAAGTGATTGAATGGCCTGGGAGCGTATTCCAAAGACCGCTGCCGCCTCCTTGCCGACAGCGGAGGGCGCTGCAAAGAGGCGCTGCCTGAACGGGCCACAGTACCGCGTGCTGCTCATGTCCTTCGATGCGATGGTGCTCCTCGTACGCGGCCCACCTTCGGTGCGAGTAAGACTAAGACTGTGGCGGCGCTTATCGACCTCTGGATGAATGGAACTCGCGACGGTTGGACTGTCGGATTGTTCGCGGGCTCCAACGAGGGAGCCGACATGCCGGCCAAGTGTCTCGCTGATGCTCACCGCGCCCGTAGACTGAACGAGGCAGGCTGCTTCCCTGGCACAGCTATTCGGCTTGCCCGCCCCGACAAGATCGCCGGCCCTGAGGCCCGCGAGCTCGCCCCCGCCCGGCAGTGCAGCAAGACACGCGGCGCGGCCATCAACGGCACGGGCGTCCAGGCGCTAGCGGTCGCGAGGAAGCGGACCCTTGAGAAAGCACGCCTCGTCCTTGCCACGCTCGAGATAAGCGCTGAGTTGGATGCGCCCGACAACCCTATGCTGCTGATCGCCATCCTGGGCGAGGCTGGACAGTCCACCGAGCCGCTCGCCGCCATTCCTCTCTCTCTCTCTCTCTCTCTTTCTCTCTCTCTCTCTCTCACTCACTGCGCGCAGTGGAAGGCGCGTGGTGTTACGTGGAGACGTGGGCCAACTCTGCCCCGCGGTGTTGTCTGCCCGCGCAGACGCCCTGGGCTTGAACATCTCTACGCTGAAACGCATCCACGATTCAATGGATACTTCGCCCCAGCACAACGTGCTATTCAGCATATGCTATCGCGTGGATAACAGCATCCTCAAATTTCCGCCCCCCCTGCCTTCTACCAAGGCGCGCTGCGCTCTGGCCTTGTTGATTCCCTCGCGCAAAGACCTATATTCCAAGGGATCCTCAGGAGGCCGGCCGGCCCTGTCCCGCCCGCCCCCGATGCCCGCCCTACAGGCGGCAGGCCCGACAGCGCGGTTGACTTCGGGGCCCGCGGCTTCCGCGGCGCCTTGCATGGGGCCCAGACAGGGGGCTGCAGGGTCAGGTTCCTCTTGGTTCATGAGAAAGCCGCCGAGCTGCCGCTCTCCCTCGTTGAGGGCACTGCCAACCTGAGGGATGCGGCCACTGTCTGCGACATCGTCAAATCCGCGGAAGATCACCTCCTTGAGCGCGGCAAGCGAGTCCTGATTGTCTGTGGGTGCCGTGCATAGGTGGCCCTAATCAAGGCCGCGGCGGAACGTCGGGGGCCAAAACGGACATCTTCGCCCCCG